GGAGTCCAAGCTGTTCTTACTATCAGTAATGACAGCCTCATTGCACTATTGAAGTTGTTACTACGCTACAGTATTTAGTTGGGTGGTTCCACTTAAGGACAATGTCATGAATATTTGGGGCAAATATGATTACCTATCAGGAGTAAGGTGGGTGACACTGTTACTGTTACCTGTGTATATAAATTGTGGCAGAAGGAGTGGTAAGGACTGTTGGTTCATCATCTGGTTCTTTCCTGAACAGAAGGGCACTTTGTAGATTTTCAACTGTGTTCAGGAGCTGGTGTGACACTGAACTCTGGAAAAGTATTAGAGGAGGAAACTTGCCACACAGAATCAAATTACACATTATTTGCCTTTACTTCCTTTTAGGAAAAAATATTAATTTTCAGTGTCTTACAAAGCTGGCAAACTTGGTGATATGCTTCTTAATCTCAGAGAAAGTGATTCTAGTCAGCCATTCAATTTCAGTAATTCTCATTAAAACATTGCAAATGAATATTTCCCAGCTTTTACATTTATATTCTATTATTTATAACTTCTACACACTGAAATTTGAAGCACTACAAACATAATATCAGTTTAATGCAATATATTCATGCACTTCTGTACATTAATGCCCTTCAGCTGCACACTTTAGTGTTTAGTTGCTTGCAAAAGCGAGACCTAATTACGTATTGTGTGTTATTAGTGTGTTATCCTGGGGGAGTTCGAACAGTTCAACCTTTTCTCTCAGGTTAGATTTCTTTCATGCCCTACTCCCGTGCAGTGATGAAAGGTAAAATATGTTCAGCCCAGGAAGCACACAAAGGCAACTGTGACAATTCACATATAAATAGGAAAGGATGGGACAAAATAAACATGTTGCACAATTCTGCACAGAAAATCGGAGTGGGCTTTCTGAAAAAGTGTAAGCAGCAATCAGAGCTGATTCCAGCTTTGAAGTAGTGGAGCCAGTCATGAATGCTGAATACCTGTGTCTTCCTTGAATTATGGGGCAAAAGGAGGGGATAGAATCAAATCTGAAAAAATCTCTGTGTGCTTGTCATCCATTAGAGGCTGTGCCCTGATGCTGTGTTATCCACTGCTCTGTCCTGTTCAGCTTTAAATGTAACAAATCTTAAGAGGCTTCTATCATCTTCATTAGCAGATGGTTCAGTCTAACAGGTCTAACTGGGGAGAAGTCTCCTTTGATACTCAAGTCCATCATGGTGCCACAACGAACCCGACCCAGTGCCAATTTTAAAATATTAGAGGCAGGAGAACACTTACAAACCTTCCAAAGCAAGCAGATGTTCACACACAGTCCACTACAAACTGGACCAAACCGAAATTACCTGTTCTGCCTCTGGCACTGAAGTGTTCACAGCTCTGATTTCTACAGAAGCTTTAAGAACATTGCTCACTGCATTAAACAGATAGTTGGCTGCATCCTTTAGCTTCTGATCATCTCGGCTGTCCTCTGTGTTTACAGTGAGCAAGGAAGCACTGACATCTTCTAAAGTGTTGCTAGCTTCCACCTGCATGGGAAACAAGGGGAAAAGTGTGTATGTGTTGGTACTACAAATGACAGAAGTGACACTTGTGTCATTGACTGAATATTGCAACAGAAGTTATCACATGGGACTATTTGTGGCTAGTGCTGGTTTTACTATAATTATTTGTGCTGGGGTAATACCTCAAATGTGAATAACGATTATATATTAGATGGTATACTAACATGTAATACAGACCTGGAAAATGCAGCCTGATTCTACAGATTTAATTCATAAAAAAGATGAATAACATCTGAAGAAGCTTGTCTGTTAAACACCGGGCAAGGATACAGTTTAGAAGTACAGTAATATATTAAATTAGTTTATACTTTTGGTGGTGTGTCCAAAAAATACTATCATATTGTCAAGTGCATGTGCATGTCAGTCTTAGTTTCCATAAACCCTGTTGGATTAACAGCAAGTAATGCCTTTGGCCTTGTGCTGTGCTAAGTGCCAAAGGAGAATGAGTTTTACAATTTTTATTTTGTGCCTGAATGCAGCCAGTGATTGCTTTGTGATTGTGAAAGCACTGGCCAGCTTTTAGCCCAGGGTAGTGAGAGAGACAAGCAAATTCATTGCAAGCTTGGACATATCCATTCTCACAGCCTGCAAACACTTAGCAGCCTTACTGTAGGGCGAGTGCTGAGTCTGAGTGATGTTCTTGTCTTGCCAAAGTTAACCACATACTGCTGAAATGCTCCCAAGCCATTGTCTGGCTGCAACTGTATAATACATCAGAAATCAGGACAGCTCTTTTTATTGCCAGCATATTTGGGAAACTTCCCCAGTGACAGTTTGTTCTGTTCTCCCATGTGCTCAGTCCTTATGCATAAATAGCATCATCTACTAATAATGTCATGTTGCCAGATAAGATTCAAGAAATACTTTTTTGAGGCCAATCTGAACATTTGTGCCCAGTTCCTCTGGGTGCTGTCATGTTCCTGCCTCACTGACAGCTTGCCTGCGTGCATTTTGTGACAGTGAATGGATCAGGGATGAGTGGATCTGGGCAATTCTAGAAAAACCCTCCTGGGTTCTTTTTCTTCAGGATTCTAAGGGTACTTTACAAGATAAAATCTACATCCTAACATGCCTCTGACTAAAAGTTAAGGTTTCCATCTTGAAGATGAGTCATAAAATGTAACTGGCCAGATAGTCTCAAATGTAGTGGTTGCTGAGACAATGCCTGAGAGTCCAAATTCACTAACTCTAAACAGCAGAATATATTCCCTTCTGGTCAAAATACACTTGCTGGTACGGTTGAAAAAAAATGGGTAAAGAACAGATACCTATAAGGCACTGAATCTCTCCCAAGGTCGGCGGGGTGCAATAGAGTCTATACTGTTAGTTTGAGGAGATCTAAGACTAATTGCTTCTTACCTGTGCTGAGACAGACAGCTCTTCACTCCTGTAAGTGATTTCTTTTAAGACTTCTGACATCTGAAGAGCAGTCTGCACTGATGTTACATTAACAGCAGAGAGAGTTGTCAGCATCAGCCCTCGGAGCTTGAGATGAAAAGGGATAATTAGGCAAAGGAATAAGATGTTAATTAGGACTGTGCAAGTAGTGCTGTATGTTGACAGCCAGGCTTGCTGTAAATTATGCGGTAGAGTAAGACTCCACAAGGATCATTTGAACTGATATTAGGTCTACTGACAAGATGCCACTTGCCTTAGCAAATCATGAATTTTATGTTACCTCCCAGCAGAGAATTTATACACTTAACATCCATTAATAGCAAGGAGAGTTACTTGTGAGAATTTGTACTAATGTGTGTGATTTACTGTATAAATGCCACTTCCAGAAAAATCAGAGCCATCTATGATTGATGTTACTCAAAGAATGAATCATAATTGAAGGATACATTGCATTTCTCTAGATCTTTTAATCTGAGGTGCTCAAAGCACTGTACAAATATAAGCTTATAACTGAAACATAAGCTGGTAGCTGAATTGAACAAACTAAAATCACCTGCCATCTAGTACTTTTGGGGAAAATTAGGTAGGATATTTCTCCCACAAGAGAGGCCATTTTATTAATATTTAAATTGTTTGTAGAAAATCAGGTTGATTTGAAGTTTTAAAACACCATCCAAATTAGTTTAAATTAACACAATAACAATTGAGAAATAATTCTCTTACTGATGGATGATGAAACAAATTATTTATGTGGGCAAATAGTGAAAAATAGCTGAAACCTGTGCCAAACTCTGAGACAGATGCTAGAAACTTGAAACCTCCATTGATATCAGGTGGTGATATATGAGCTTTTTACTACTTAAGAGCTGTCAAAGAATATGAAGAGTCCATTATATTGCATTATTCTGCAGGAAAGCAAGTGTCTGGCTAACCTCTTTCCGTGTGTTCATCTGTAAAGATACGTTAAAGCGTTCCTCTTGGGTCTCCTGATTCAGGACAGATGTCACTGACTTATACAGCTGGAGAAGACTCATGCTGTTGTTCCCTTCTTTCAGGATGGTGTTTGCCTTCTCAGATACAATAGCTCGCAGGGTCTGGTTCCCTTCCATCATATCTGTATGTCCAACCTGATGAAGAAATCAGATATGCTCTTAACATTGCCAGCAGTGTTATCATTATCTTTGAACAGCTTCCATGATCATCTTATTGACAGCCTAGCTAGAATGGGACAGAAAACTTTGTGTTCCCTGGTTTTAACGTTTTATTTTTAGTGGCCTGTTAAGGATCTCCTTACTGGGGCACTGGGGCAGAAGCAGGAGTTTTCTGGGGCCTACACAGAGTAACTCCAGACGCCCTAAATACAGCTTATGCTGCCCAATGTCCAAATAGATCATCTTTAAAATTTCTATCCTAGTAAAAGGGCAGTAGAAGATTCTTTTGACTACCCTGAGTCCACAGAAAATACTCTCTGTTAGATAGGAAAATGGTGATTATGGCACATCCAGAAAGAAGTAATACATATAAAATAGGAAGAAGCTCCAAAAGTGAATTGTGAGTTAGGTATCAACTTAAGAGACCTTGAAGGAAAGTAATTCTACTGTGTACCTTCACTGAAGCACTAGTTTGAATTGTATCACCAAAGTTGTTGCTAACAGTAATTGTCATATGTAAAATGAAATTATTTTCCTCTTCTCCAAGTGGAAGATAAACTGGGAAGAGCTCAGGATCTGGGCCACAGTGCAGGAGAGAATCTGAAACAGGAAAGAGAGGGTCACCTACCAGACACCACACAGACACCTCCTGTTCTCTGAGAACAGGGAACCCTGGGCTTGCTCTGTGCAGGCCTGGCTGACTCCTTATTAGTCTCTGCAGGAAGCAGAAGCAGGTTGTGCCTTTGCTCTTGTTAGCAACAGTACCAGTGCTTGCTAGAACCAGGGAGGAGCAGTTAGCCAAACAGTTCACCTCAGGACTTACTTGATTTCAGATAGAAGCAGTATGTGAGCTGCCTGTTATGACTGGATTGGCATGAATCCCTCAAGCAAGGAGTGCTGCAGGAGACTGTGAACATGGTGAGCACTGATCCCTGCTTGGGAGACACTGCGCAACTGGGGATCTTGGGCGGAGGCACGGTGCTGACAAGGTACGTTTCCTCCCCATAGCCACGCTGAGTCATTGCTGGGAGTGGAGGGAGCAGAACGTCAGCAATAATCATGCCCCGGCAGCGCTGATCTTCAGACATACATCTTGCCTACTTAGCAGTGATGCTGTTTGTTCAGGCACCAGAAACATCAGAAAATCAGAAACGAAATCCCACTACTGAATAAGCCATAAGAGGAGGAAAAGAACTATTAAAAACATGGTCATGTTTGCATTATAAAGCAAAGCTGTATTATTTGATGAAGAATTTAGCATAACTTCATTTCCAGATGAGTCTTTACAAAGTTTTTAACAGTTTGGAGTAAGATAACTGAATTTGTCCTGCTGTGCAACAGCCCAGAACAAACTTAGTCTTAATTATTTTAATGAAAACACATATAAAGTAACAACTCTCAACTTGTGGACTAAGCTAACTTCATCTTTGTCAGCGAGGCTATGTGTGTGTAACGTCAGTGTAATGTCATGATGGCAGAGACTATTGCAAAGGAGTTTGAAAAACCCTGCTTGCCCCTACCTGTTACTTTAATCTGAAAAGCTTCTCCCTGTGTCTGCAAGAAGGAACTGTTCATTTTCAACGTGGATGTGTTACTTTGAAGCAAATTCAAAGAGTTCTGCCGGAAACCAGTGAGGCCACAGGCCAGAGGGAGGGGCATAGCCTGGAAAATCAGACAGGAAAGAAAACATGACAGTAGAAGCTCTTTACTGTGATTTCTGTTTGATGTATCAGGAGCAGGGTGGCAGTTTAGTGCCCTTCATTATAACTCCTCCCAAACCAGGCACCCCCTTCTCTTGGTCTTCATTATTATTTCCAAAGCATCCATTTGACAAAGTATTATTATGAGGCCACGTGGCTTTCCCTCGAGTTGGATGTTTATTTTTGTGTGTGCAGTATTTCTGACAAATGAGATGCTCTCACCTTGGATTGGAATGTGTTATCTAAATACCAGTTATAATATATGGCCCGGGAGTCCTTCTGTCCAGAGACACTCAGAATAACCTCATCACTAGCATTCACTGGCTTACAGTTTGCCTCACACCTGTAAGGGAGTAAGATGGTAGTTACAGGTAGTAGCTGTAAGAGATGTCATTGTCCTTGATGTTTATTGTTTTACCCTCGCTTGATGAAAACCCACAAAAGCCCTGCAATATGAGTCAGGTGACACATGACTCACAAATAGCAAAATAGCAAGAGATTTAGGAAACTGATCCCCATTTTCAACATGACCGAGGCCCAGAACCCACAAACTATTTATGTTGCAGAACTGATTCAGGCTCTCAAATGAAGCCTCCTCTATCTAAGCCCCTGAAATTATTATGTTAACAGATCACTGAAATGCCACTGCTCTTTAATGAGGCACGAGACTGTTGAAGAACAGACTGTTGAAGGCATTAATGTGTATCTGGGTGACTAATAGAAATTCCAGCTATATCTTATGGCATTTATTCCCATTATTTCAGTGAGGTTTGTATATGGAAATCTCCAACATTGAAAGGATATAGTGGGGTCAAAAACCCTAAACGGTTTTGGGAAGAATATTATTCAGTTTTCTAAAGGATTATGTTCAGAACTGTGGACTGGAAAATGTAGCAAGTCCTATTTTGTCTGTAATTCCTATAAAGGTAAATATAAATAGATTCACAACAAGAAATACGTTATCACTTTATTACCATTATTATTGGTAACTGTGGCCTTGCAATATGTGTAGTAATAATATTAACCCGTGAATATTAGGGTTTAAAAACAGACCTGATTTCCAGTTGCAGTTCTTGTTTTGCAGTCACATAGAGACATTGCTCATCCTGCTTCTCTTCATTGCCATGGTTTCGGACTGTAACCCTGACAGTCACTGCTGACTTTGGAGGAGGAAGGCAGGAAGGTGGGATTTGCACCTCAGTTTGGTTGGTTAGGATTATCTGTTGCTGCACACATTTGTTCCACTCAGGCCAACAAGCTCCTGCACAAACATTTCATTTATAAATAAAATAGGCTTAATATCCCATGTCTCTTATAAAGGACTTTGCTACCTTAGGTTTCAAAGAGCTTTATAGAGCAAACAAGTTTCCTGAACCCGATTTAAAGAGTGGGTAATCAGAGTTCAGAGTACACTGACTTCTTCAAAGTAATGTATGAGATCAGGGATAAATGTGGAGACGGAACACAGATGTCCTGAATTTCAATCCAGTTTTCAGCCATAAATGTTTTTGCATTATGTTTGATGCTAATTATTGCTCATTTATTGAGACACATGTACCTTGCGAATGCCTAACTATGTATATCACTTGGGATTAGTTTTTGGCTATGAGGGTTAAGGTTTAGGATGGGCAGATCTTGAGAAATGAAATCTAGGAGAAAAGACAAAACTGAGTACTATGCCATATTATATACCATAATTAGTTAGGTGTTAAAACCAGGGAAAGGTAGAAGGACATTCTTCATGTACAGGGAGTGGCAAACTTTAAAGCCAGAGAGTAAACCACCAGATTTTTTCCACTTGGTCTGACATGACAGTGAGTTTGTTACTCATCAAATAGAATTTGGTAGAAAAGTTCAGGAAATGCACATACCACAGGACCAGAGAAAACTGAAATTATTGTTGTTGTCTGGCCAGCCAAGTGTAACAGTTGTGAAAGGATCCACATGGCGACTCGGTTTAATATATATTTTGGTTTTTCTTTTGTGATCCTAAATAATTAAGTAAATGTATCAGTTAGGACAGGAGCATGTATAAACACATACATATCTTGCTTCTTTATAATGAAAAAGGTCTGAAAGTTTAGAACCCAAATCACTGTAGGCAGATCTGTAGTTTAAATGATCCTTCCCTGATCAGTGGTAGTATGGAAGTGGAAGCTATGGGAATAGAAGCAGATGGCACAGAGAAATTGTGTGGCAAAATACTCCCAAATGCTTAAGTGGCTTAGGAGCCCAGTTCTCATTTTCAGAATTAATGCAGGCACTTAGGAAACTAGTTCCCATTCATTTCCCACTTCCGGGAAAGATTTTTTACCCTTGGACAATCGTTTGTCTTCTAGTACATCTTCTAGTACATTTCTTTTTTATATTACTTAGATACATTACAGCTATAGATAAAAAGAGGGTAGCTGAATTTGTCTTTTTGTGCTACAGACTATGATAAACTTAGCTTTGAATTAGATTTATATTCCTCTCATGCAGTATATTCTTACAGGCAATGTGTAAAGCATGATGCCTTCTTGTGAAGCAGCCCGTTTCCTATAGCAGACATCTGTCTTCAAGTGTTATAGCTAAAAACTAGACCTTTAAGATCATAATAAAATATTATATTTGACAATTTCATTATTTAAATTTGTGCAGCTGCTGGCAGTTGGTGTATCATTACTTTCTCAGTTTGCCATAAACTGGAAATTTCTTCTTTACAAAGTAGCTTAAACATTCCAATACAGAAGAGGAAACACTTAGAAATAATATAAAAATATATTCAACTGTGCTTGAGAGATAGCCCCTCAAAGAGAGGCTTCCATTAGTCAAGTACATATTTTAAAAATTCACCTATCTCATTTCAATTTCCAAAACTGAATCATAGTGAAAAGTTAATTTTCTCTAATCTTGTAACTGTTACTTGCAGGCTTTTACGAACTGTAGATTGAATGCCTGTAAACACATTTGTCTCAGAGTCTGTCGGTGTAGATTTTATGTTAAATCAAATGGGGCACACAAAGTCTAGTCCATAATCTAGTATGCCACAAAGACTTCTTTTCAATATGTAATGCAGCACTTTCACTGGTAAGAAAATTTTCTAAGCATTTCGGTTTAAAGAAAGATCCTTAAATAATACTTACATTTGTCTTTTGGGGATTTGTTTGGGAGCTGCTGCCTTCTTTAGCAGAATCTGTTTAATACAAAAAAGAGCAGAATATTTTAGTGTTACCTGTAAAGTTTTCAGACATCCTCAGCAAATACGACTCAAATACACAGGATTTGACTACCAACAGTCTGAAAGATGGATCTATAAGAATCAGACTTTAGAACTGTGATAAACAGTCTAGTTACAGTAGGTAAAACTGTAGCAACAAGCTAGTCACATACTATAAAAATGATGATCCTGATTCTTCAATCATAATGGTGTAAATCAAAATAAATTCACAGTGATGGAGTTTCATCAATATACAAAGAAAAATTGAGGGAAAGCACCAGAAAAGTCTCAATATGATTAGTGCCAAAGTCACTTTATTCCGGATATTACATTTAGAATTACATTTGTAAATGTAAGGATGAGCCATCTAGAAACATTTACTGACAGCAATTTATGAGACTGCTGTGATGCAAATATTTCCTGTTTTCAAAGCTATGTCCTGAGCCATAAACTTCACTAATTATTTCTAGGACAAATAGCAAATGTGCAATGTGTAACATATACAGAGTGATGCTAATTTATGACTACTTCAAAGCCAGGGAATTTGCCTTCGTCGGGAAGAAGCCTCCACAAAACTTTTCAGCACTGTTGCTGGAAAGAAAGCAATTACTAGATGCAAACCATAAACACTCCATGAAATGCTTTGATTGCAAAAAGACACTTATGTGGTCAAAACCAGCACTGGCAGATTATTGCAATTACCTTTTTTATGAGAACTCTTTGCCAACACAGTGATGAACCCGAGATCCAGACTCATGTTTGAGAAGTCATTCATGGCCACCACTTTCACTAGGAAAGTACCTAGAGAAGACAAATGGCCAGTTAAGAATAGCAGTGAGACCACTCCATCATGTTTGGGATATAAAATCCAATTTGTAAAGAAAATTCTAATCTTTTCTGTTAAGAGCTTTGGGGTTTTTCTGATGAGTTTCCACTGCTGAAAGGCTTTTCAAGGAATGTTATTCTGCTTTATCTCAGCTTTTTAATAACTCAGCTGTCTTGGTCCTAGCACTTGCAGTGCTATTCTTTGTCAGCTGGCTATGATATTACCACACAGGAAACTGGAAGTGTGCAAATACTGGAGTCCAAA